AACATCAGTATATTTTATTTTTATAAGATAAATAAGTAACAATGTTGATATCAAAATTTTGTACAATTCAATCGAATTGATTTCTAAAAACAAAATTATGCAATAAGAAAAGGTGCCGATTTCCAGTATTAACTCATATTTTTCTGCAAAGAAACAAAGAAGTGCATCATCTTCTTCAACATCACCTGCTACTATGGTATCTACTACTATTGATACGTTCACTTCTCCACCACCCAAGACCAATTCATCGTTATCAGCTTCATCGTTAATTGTCAGTTTATCTTCGTCACTTTCATCGTCAAATCAAAATTTAAAATCAACAGATCAAGAGAATGATGAACAATGCCAATCAACATTACTGACAAGGATAACACCATCAACATTACCAACGGATATTAGTCGCTCCAAGAATGAATCACCTAGTCCGCCAGTTTTATCTTCTTACAAAAAAAATAATGACAAAAGATCGTTTCAATCTCACTGGTTGTAACCCGACTTATGTCATCGGAAAAGAGTCAGGATAAAAAAGAATTAAGTCTATATTACATCACTATTAATATTAATAGATAAATTTGGTATACCTAAAACGGGTCGAAAAATCTTGAGGGCTGAGCCCTACCTAGCCCAAAATCCTGGTTCCGCCACTGAGCACAATATCAAAAATTATTAATATTCTATGAATCAAATGATTGTGAAAAAATGTATCATTTACATAAAACTTTCAAAGTGTTAATAAAACCAGTTACATCAATTAAAGATCTATTTGAAATTTTTATTGATTCAAAATATTGTTCTGATGATAAGAAAAAGAAACAAATTCATCAATATTCTTTAACAAACTACTGAACATTAAAGTTACTAATAATCAAAACAAATCATTCTATTTACATTTTAGTAAAATACAAGATTCCGAACAGATTAAGTTTAATGATCAAGAACAATTAATTAATTTATTAGAACATGGTCGAAAAAGTCTCGTGAAAATCAAGAAGAATTCGAATAAATCATTGAAATTTAAATATCAATTATCAGATTTAGATTTCCCAACAATTGATAAGAGATTTATTAGATAGGATTGATCAACAAGAATCAAAATTTTTGGAATTAATTCAATTATTCAAAAAATTTAGAATTTGTTAATGAAAATGAATATAAAAAATTAAATGAAAATTTTCGAAAATTATTACCGGAAACAAAGTTTAGCTTGATTAAATGTCAAATAAATTCGAATAATTTCAATCGGTTTGTGAAATATTAAAATCAATTAAAGAATTTTAAACATTTTTAAATCATCTCAAATCTCGATTCAAAGAAATTAATAGAAAAATTCTTCAATTGATACTTCTACGAGCGAATATTTATTGAAAAAATCATTATTTTTATTTAGAAGAATTAGAATTTTTAACGATTTTAACGCATCAAAAAACAAATATTGATCATAATCCAATGAT